GACACTGGGGCAGAAAATGACTTACATGAAAGATCTCTATGAGTGAGATCCAGTGGAAAGAAGGAGGTAAGTTTCTCTGAAGGGAGGAGAGAACTTCCACTTTGATTATGGCCCTGTCTAAATAACGTCAGATTTTTGTGTACTCAAAAAGCTTCAATAGCCTTGGCAGCTCATGACAAGAGCCTGGGATGTTCACTGACATCATAAATAAGAGTGTCAATTGTTAAATCAACAACAGGAGTCACTGTGCACTTTCTCCCCATGTAGGACTTCTGTCCTTAAGGAGCTGTACTATGAGAATTAACAGTAAAACTAGTTCTGTCCCGGTTGCTCCTCTTCCAGTCCAGCTCTCTGCTATGGCCCAGGAAGGCAGTGGAGGATGGCCCATGTGCTTGGGCCCTGCACCCGCATGGGAGACCAGGAGGAAGCACATGGCTCCTGGCTTTAGATTGGCACAGCACGCCAGCCATAGCGGCCATTTGGGGGGTGAACCAACAGAAAGGGAAGACCTTTCTCTCTGTCTCTCTCTCACTGTTTAACTCTGCTTGTCAAAAAAAAAAATTCTGAATTTCTTGCTGATGTACTGCTTTTGTATTACAGCCCACCTTTTGGATATATTTCCACTTTAATTTTTTTTTTGACAGGCAAAGTGGACAATGAGAGAGAGACAGAGAGAAAGGTCTTCCTTTTGCCATTGGTTCACCCTCCAATGTCCGCTGTGGCCAGCATGCTGTGGCCGGCACATTGCGCTGATCCGATCCACTTTCATTTTTTTAAACAGCTGTTAATTTCCCAGCTTCTTCTTTTCATCCATTAATTATTAAGGAGTTTGTTATTTTATTTCCAAATGTTTTTTGCTATCCCTACATGCTTTCTCTTATTAATTTCTAATAAAATTTAGTTGTAGTCATAGGACATACTTACATGTCTTCTTTTATTTAATTTATTTCATTAAATTATGTAAATCAATTAATTTATTTAACTGTTATAGAATTCATATGTTTTGTTCTTATATTATGGCCTAGAATATCGTACATGATCTTCTCCCTAGTTACATTCTTTTCTCTGAAGTCTGTTTCACTTCATTATTGGTATTTTGACTCTTTTTTCTTTGATTTCTGTTAGCAAGGTATATCTTTTTCTCTTACTTTTAGCTTTCTTTCAGAAAAATCATCTATTTAGGTAAAATATGGAAGAGAAATTATATTGAATGTCTTGGATATTGCTTCCATTGCCTTGGCAGCTCATGACAAGAGCCTCGGGTGATTACTGACATCATAAATAAGAGTGTCAATTGTTAAATCAACAACAGGAGTCACTGTGCACTTACTCCCTATGTAGGATCTCTGTCCTTAATGTGTTGTACTATGTGAATTAATGGCATAACTAGTACTCAAACAGTACTTTATACCATGTGTTTCTGTGTGGGAGCAAACTGTTGAAATCTTTACTTATTAAATATTAAATTGATGTTCTTTATATAAAGATAACTGAAAATGAATCTTGATATGAATGGGATGGGAGAGGGAGTGGGAGATGTGATGGTTGAGGGTGGGAGGGAGGTTATGGGGGGAAAAACCCACTATAATCCAAAAGTTGTACTTTGGAAATTTATATTTATTAAATAAAAGTGAAAAAAAAGTTTCTATGTACCTAAAAAAAGCTATAGACAGAAAATTTTGAAAGCAGCAAGAGAAAAAAATGATTCATCACATACAAGGCAACTCAGTAAGATTAACAGTTAAAATTTCTGCAGATGATATAGTAATTGACTCTTAAGTATTACTTATTCTGAGTGAAGTGAATTGTCTATTAACTATCATTGTGGAATGAATGAAACTGACAGTAATAGAACTTGATACTATTTTCTGGATTTTGCTTCCTATACCCAATGAGTAAAGTGAAGTGGTTTGAATATTATCAAAAGACTAGCACAAAATACATTGTATCAGCTTATTTTAAATTCAGATGAAGGTACTAACTTGACTACCTTTGTGGGGAAACACTGTGTGAAGAAATATTAACTTTAAATTAGCAGTTAAATAATTTTAATAGATAATTAAAATACTTGCTTAAAAATATGAGAGGTGTCAATGAATTGAAGGGCTGATCTAGAAACTTCAAAGGGTACATTTTTTAATTTAATATAAACAGGCTAAGAGTGGAGTGTATTTTAAAAAAATTATTTGAAAGAGACAGACAGGAGACAGATTCCACCTGCTGCTTCACTCCCCAAATACCCACAATGTCAGGACTGAGACAGGTGGAAGCCAAAAGCCCAAAACTCAGTTGCAGTCTGACTATGAGAGTATCAGAGATTCAATTATTTGAGCCATCACTGTTGCCTTCTAGGGTCTGAATTAGAAGGCAGCTGGAATCAAAATCCAGAGGCAAGTATTGAATACTTTATCATACATATCTATTGAGATTTATACTTCTAGTACACATCTCTCAAGAATTAACAGAGCCTATGTAGTGAGATAGATGTGCCATAAGAACCAAGCCCCCCACCAGGAAGTGGCCCTCATCAGTCTGTCATTATTTAAATTTAATTTCTTTGTACAATTCTACTCCATAGAGATCAGTCTATGAAAGACAAATATGAGACATTAGTACAAAGAGCAGGGAGTTTTGTCTTTTTCCTCAAGGGGGATTTGAATGAATCAAAACTAAGAGAATATAATGTTCACTTGTTCTAAACCTCTCTTAAAAACATGGATTGTGGACTGAAGCAGCTTGAGCCAATTCCTAAATTTTGGATGTTATTTAAAACATATCTGTACTTGTCTATATTAAAATCAGAAACATAAAAAGACCTATGAACATACTTTATGAACAAGTTGACAATAATAATACTTTCTAGCTTTCTCTTACTGGAACAGTCTTCATCAGCAGCCATAAACTGGTGGGATGCTAGGGAGTCTGTGGTACTGGGGAAACACTTGTATTCTATTATGCATTCTTAGGTTCCAGAAGCCAGAGCATTTCTCCATGGAAATAGTAGACAACAAATCAGCACTAACATGATAGAAATATAGGATGTAAGGGGCATAGTAGAGTTTGATAAACTTAGCCACTATTTGCCACATCATTTCTGGGAAAATGAAGAATTCCAAATAGCCAGCAAATAAGTGTCAAATCATAAAATCCATTTGTGCCCTAGAGACTGCTTATGTAACTTTCCCTTTGCATCTATAGCAACTTGTGTGAACAAAACCTAACTGTTTAGTGCAGAGAGAAGTAACCTTTTTAAAATTTATTTTATTTATTTGAAATGCAGAGTTTTTACAGGGAGAGAGTGACAGAGAGAGAGATTGATTGATTGATTTTCCATCTGCTGGTTTACTCCCCAAATGGTTGCAATGGCCAGGACTGGGCCAGGCTGAAGCCAGAGCCAGGAGCTTCTTCTGGGTCTTCCACATGACTGTAGGGTCCCCAGCACTTCGACTGTCTTTTGCTGTTTTTCCTAGGCAAATTAGCAGGGAGATGTATTGGAAGTGGAGGAGCCAGGGCTCAAACGGTGTCCATATGGGATGCCAGTGTCACAGGCAGAAGCTTTATCCACAATGCCCACAATGCCAGCCCTGGGAAGTAACTTTACACTAGAAAAATCTGGCAGCCACCTCAACCATGTGATCAAGGTTAGTATCAGTGGTCATGTTCATTGCATCACACAAACTCTTGATATATGAATGGCATTTATCTCTGTGTTCTTTCCACCAAAAACCTATTAATACCAGTGCAACCATTAGATTGTGTATATCTGTGTGTGCGTGCATTTGTGCAGTCAGTTTGTGGGATATTTTACAAAATACTTGACAGTCAAACTTTTCAAGGTAATAAATAAGTCAGTCAGAGGTCAGGGAAATTATCACAGACCAATGGTGGCTAAGGAGACATGACAATTATATACAATATCATCTCCTGGATGTTATCAGAGATGATAGAAAGACATTAAGAAAAAATAGTGAAATCTAAAAATATAAAAGTATATAGTTAATAAGAACAGTGTCACTTATTCATGACAAATGCACTGCAGTGATGTTAATAGGGAAAACTGGGATGAGTATACAGGATATATCACTGTAATTTATCTACCATGTTTGTTTTGTAGCACCATTTATCCATCTTCATGACATGAGTTCTCCCACTCTTTGTTACCTAATAACATCTGAAGTAATTCAGGACTTCCCAAATTCTTTACACATTAGTTTTCTCTCTGGTGTGCATCCTGGTGCGATGTATTCTAAGAGCTGCCTTACAGACAAAGGTTTTCCCACATCTGTCACATTCATAAGGTTTCTCTCCTGTGTGAATTCTCTGGTGTACTCTGAGAGTTGAATTTTGAGCAAAAGCTTTCCCACATTCATTACAGTCATAAGGTTTCTCTCCTGTGTGAATTCTCTGGTGTACACTAAGGTGTGAATTCTAGAAGAATGTTTTTCCACACTTACTACATTCATAGGACTTTATACCTATGTGAATTCGCTGATGTACTCTGAGGGTTGAATTATGGGCAAGTGTTTTTCCAAATAAAGTACACTCATAGGGTTTCTCCCCTGTGTGAATTCTTTGATGTGCACTAATATATGACTTTTCTGAGACAGTTTTACCACATTGATTACATTTGTAATTTTTCTCCCCTTTGTGAGTTCTCAGATGTGCTCTGAGATGTGATGTCTTTGAGAAAGTCTTTCCACATTCATTACATTCATACAGTTTCTCCCCTGTGTGAATTCTGTGATGTCCCCTGAGGGCCAAATTATCTGCTCAAGTTTTCCCACAGACATTGCATTCATAGGGTTTCTCCCTTGAATGAATTCTCTGATGTGCAGAAAGGTGTGTTCTTTGGGAGAAACTTTCCCCATATGCATTACATTCATAGGGTTTCTCCCCTTTGTGAATTCTTTGATGCACTATGAGAGCAGCCTTATAGACACAAGTTTTCCCACATATGTTACATTCATAAGTTTTTTTCCCCCTGCATGAATTCTCTCATGTTCAGTGAGGTATGACTTCTGTGAGAAAGTTTTCCCACACTTATTACATTCATAGGGTTTCTCCCGTGTGAATTCTTTGATGTGTACTGAGGCATGTCTTCTGGGAAAATGTTTTTCCACATTCACCACATTCATAGAGTTTCTCTCTAGTGTGAATTTTCTGATGTGCTCTGAGGGTTGAATTATGTGCAAACGTTTTCTCACAGTCATTACATTCATAGGGCTTCTGCCCTGTGTATTTTCACTGATGTACTCTTAGGGCTGAATTGTGGGCAAAAGTTTTCTCACAGCTATTGCATTCATAAGGCTTCTCACCTGTGTGAGTTCTCAGATGTGCTCTGAAGGCTGAATTATATGTAAAAGATCTCCCACACTCATTACATTTGTATGGTTTCTCCCCTGTGTGAATTGATGTGCTCTAAGTACAGAAATATGGGCAAAAGGTCTCCCACATTCATTACACTCATAGGGTTTCTCCCCAGTATGAATTCTCTGAATTCTCTGATGTGCTCTGAGGGTTGACTTATCAGCAAAAGCTTTTCCACATTCATTACATGCATAAGGTTTCTCCCCTGTGTGAATTCTCTGATGTGCACTGAGGTGTGTCTTGTGAGAGAAAGTTTTGCCACACTCATTGCATTCATAAGGTTTTTTACCTGTGTGAGTTCTCTGATGTGCTCTGAGATATGATGTCTTGGAAAATGTTTTCCCACATTCAATACATTCATAGGATTTCTTCCCTGTGTGAACTGTCAGATGTTCTCTGAGATGTACCATCTTGAGGAGTGCTTTCCCATATTCACAGCCTTAATAGAGTTTAATTTTTGTGTCTGTTCTTTGGTGTCCTATTTGGGAAGACTTAAAAGAATTCTCACAGCCATTGTTATCATAAGGTTTTTTCTCTATGTGAATTCCCAGATGTTCACTGAGCTTTGACTTCTTATAGACTGTCCCCCTATATTCATTACATCCATAATGTCTGAACCCTCTATGAGTTTCAGGATGTTGAACTGAGTGTGAATTTGAAAAAGATTTTTTATATTCCTCACATTCATAAGGTTTCTCACCTGAGACAGCTCTTTGATGCTGAATGTGATGTGCTTTGTGGTACAGTTTCTCAGATTTACTATATTCATCAAGTTCATAGACTTGTTCTCCAGTTCTCTATGCACTGAAAGGTCTAATATCTTATAGAAGGCATTTGTACATCTATTATATTCACTGAACTTATCTCCAGGTTGTGTTTTCTGGTGTACCACATGGGATAGGCCCTGGATTAAGTTTTCTTCATATGCATTGCTTTCACAAATATTCTGTCTTATAATAGACCTTGGAGACTGAGTGAGAGGTGATTTTGTACCAAAAAAATAATTCCAGTTTCACTACATTCATGGTGTGTCATAGCCACATGAACTTTATTGTATTCTACAGTGGTGGTTTTGTTACAGGATTTCCCACATTCATTAAGATCAGGGCATCTTCTCCTTGTAGCAGTTCTTACGTGGTCAAGTAGTATTATTTTATTATAGTTTTCCCCAAATTCATCACTCTTATAGGGCTTCCTTCCTGTTGGAGAACTTTCAACTGCACTACAGAGAGTCTTATTACATAAAAAATTTCCAAAATCATTATATTCAAAAGATTGCTTCAAAGTTTGAAATTTCTGATGTTGATTTTTGTTATAACTGGGAGCTTTCACATTTGCATTATATTTGTAAAGTTTCTCTTCAGGATGAGTTTTTTGATGCTCAATATCAAGCTGCAATTGTTCACACACATTCATGTAATCAACTTTCTTTCTTAAATAGCTTCCTTCACTAAATAATTCAGAAACAGCTGGAGAATTCATTCTATATGCTTCACATTTAAAGAGTGTTATTCTTGAAAAAGCTGGAGCTATATTCAGATTAGGCATTTTTACTAAAACTTTCTGTCTTTTTTTAACTCAGTGTTGGTCATCAATGAATATTACTTGCCAGAGAGGATGTATTTGTTTTTTTCTGGGTCCCTTTGATGTGTACATTAACTCTGTAATACCCTAAAATGAGAAAAATAGAAAACATTTAAAAAGTGTTGTATTTCTTATCAAGAAAAACAAATAGTTATGTTATAGATTTTATTCTGTTGTTTCTGGTCGTGTTACAAAGATTAAATAACTGATACACACAGACAAACATTCTCTTTTTCATCATCCATAATGTTTAAACAAATAGGTATTATTGTCAATGCCAGCCAGAATGGAGTACTGCTTTTTCCCAGGGGCCTCCTCTAACAATTAAGTTCCTGTCAAAAAAAATTAGCAAGTGACAATTCTACAGAATGGAAAGGAAGTAGACTTCAGAAATGACAGAGAACAAAATTCCCAGGCATTTCTTACTGCTTCCCATCAATATAGTCTGGGTACTTAAGACACCTATAATCTGGGGTATAATCAAGAAAAGCCTATTCCTTCTAGATCTGAGAAAATATGATCTAACAGAAAAACTTTTCATAGAATCCACCATACTCAGGTCAAACAAAAACAGAGGATTCACTGTGTGGTTCCATTCAAGCTGAGCAGGAGAGCTAATCTACTGAGACAGCCACAACCACAGATACAGAGGATCTGGATGCTCATGTAATATACCCCCCACCCCCACCCTGCTGTGTGCCAAACCTGGAGCTCATAGGAATGATCATGAAGAATGCAGATAATATTTCATTCTTGGGGTATGCTGGAACAATTACCAGCAGCCAGTATCAAAATTCCACCTGGAAAAATATTATTATCTAAATGGTGGAACAAATGTCTTAATCTGCAAGAAGAAAAAATCTGTTGTTTTAGAGTACTAGTTGCCATTCAATAGAAGTTGAAGAAGAGCTGGCACTGTGGCATAGCTGGTAAAGCCACCGCCTACAGTGCTGGCATCCCATATGGGTGCCAGTTCGAGTCCCGGCTGCTCCACTTTCTGCCCAGTTCTCTGCTATGGCCCAAGTCCTTGGGCTCCTGCACCCATGTGGGAAGACCCAGAGGAAGCTCCCGGCTCCTATCTTCAGATTAGCACAGCTCCGCCCATTATGGCCAGTTGAGGAGTGAACCAGCAGATGGAAGACCTCTCTCTCTCTCTCTGTCTCTCCTCCCTGTGTGTAACTTTTTCAAATAAATTAATACATCTTAAAAAATATCTGAGAGAAGTAAAGAAACAAACAAACAAAGAGAAGAGAAAGCACAGAAATAATACGTAGGGATGCTTAGTAGGCCAGGTACTATAGGTAGGAGAGATAAAGTAGCAATTATAACTGTATCTCTTAAACCAGAGGATACAATACATTCAACAACCACTGAATTCAAATGTATATGAAACACTCATCAAGACACTGCACTCCAGCTATAAGATAAATCGCCATAAGTATTAAGAAAGTGAAATTATAGACAGGATTATCTTTAGCCACAAATTATACTAGAAATCAGTAAGTGCAAAGCTATCTGAATAAATAAAATATTATAATTATACACTTTTAATTAATACAAGGTAAAAGAGGAAATCTTACAGAAAATTAGGTTTTTTTGAAGTGAATAAAAACAGAAAAAACAAATTTTGGGGTGCAGCTAAAGCAGTGCTGAGAAATGAATTTGTGGCTTAACATTTTTAAAACAGAAAAGAAAGATCTCTAGTCAGATACCGGTTTTCCCCCTTTAATATTCTAGGGAGAGGGAATTAAATCTAAAGAAAGTAGAAGGAAGAAAATAATAAAGATTAGATCACATAAAAATGAAACTGAAAACAGAAAAACCAAAGAAACATTCTTTGGAAAGTTTTTTTAAATGTGAAAAACAGAGGAAACAAGACATAATATTAGAAATGTAAAAGGGGACATAACTACCAACACAATAGAAATGAAAGAAATATTAACATAAATGCTGTCTTAGTTAAGGCTGCTACCATCAGGGGCCTTAAACAATAAACATTTATTTTCCTCAGTTCTGGAGGCTGGGATTCCAACATGAGGGTACCAGCCCTTGTGATCACGTTTCTGTGAGGGAAGGGCCTCTTCTGGGTGAAGGATTACAGATGTTTTGTTGTATCCTTAACAGTAAAAAGAACTATGAAGCTCTCTGGCATCTTGTAAAGACATTCTAATCTCACTCAAAAGGGCCCCATTCATAATCTCATTACTTTCTAAGGGTCCCACCTCCAAATAAATCACATAGGGATTTTGGCACAGAAATGGGGAGAGTAAAAATATGAAGTCCATTGCAAACTCTATGCTCATAAACTAAAAAATTTAAGTGAAACAATAATTTCTTGGAAAAAATTAATAATTCACTCAATGAGAAAGATATAATGTGAACTTACCAATATTATGTTATGTAGCAAACTGAATATGTAGACACTATCTTGCCCAAGACCCACACATACAGAGTTCCAAATAATAGTTCCAAGACCAAATGATTTTAATTAGTGAATTCTCCCAAGCATCTAAGGAAGAAATAATACCAATTCCACACAGTCTCTTCAAGAAAATATAAGCTGAGGTAATATTTCCCAAATAATTCTGAGACTTGAATTTCCTTACAAGACCAATGAAAATTCTAGAAAATAAACCAGGGGCAGGCATTTCCTAGTCTACCCAAATCCCACATCTGAATACCTGGGTTAAATACTAGGTTATGGTCCTGGACTCCACTTTCTTGCTAATGCAGACCCTGAGAGGCAGGAGCAATGATTCAAACAGTTGGGTTCTTTCCACTCATGTGGGAGACCTGGGTTGAATTTTCAGCTCCTAGCTTCAGCCTGGCTCAGACCAGGCTGTTGTGAGCATTTGAACAGTGAACTAGTGAAAGCCCAAAGAATTAAAACCACATATCATTTGATATAAAAAATTTTAACAAAATTCAAAATCCATTCATTAACTCAATAAAAAGGCATTTACAGAAAGCCTATAGCTAATATCACACTTAAAAGTGTAAGATTAAATGTTCTCCAAGATTAGGGAAAGACAAGAATGTCTATTCTCACAATCTTTATTCAAGATTTTACTGAAGTGTCAGCATGCAGCATATGCAAAAAGGTTAAGAATAAAGCAAAAAAGATCAAGAGTAAATCTATCTCCCTCAAAATCACAACAATAACTACAAAAAAGCTCCTTAAACTAGTAAATGGTTTTTGACGTTACTTATTTATTTATTTATTCATTTTTTATTTTTGAAAGGCAGACAGCTAAAGACAGAGATAGATCTATCTGCTGATTCACTCCTCCAAAAACCTGAAAAATCTAGGACTGGCCCAGGCTGAAACCAAGGGCCTGGAACTCAGTTCAGGTCTGCCATAAAGGAAGCAGAGACTCAATTACTTGAGGCATCACTTGGTGCTTCCCAGGTATACATGAGTAAAAGGCTGGAATCAGAAGCAGGTCTCTAATATGGGTTGCGGGGATACAGAGCTACATCTTATCTGCTATGTCAAATGCTTACCCCCTAGTAAGAATTTTTAACAAGGGCAGAATATGTGGTCTACAAACAGTCTTACAGCTGTGAACAAATCAAGTGGAATCTGAAATGAGAGAAACAGTATCATTTATCATAGCACAAAGCCTTGGTATAGTATACTGAAAACCACAAAACATTAATGAAAGAAATCCTAAATAAGTGGGAGGTATATTTTGTTTATGGACTGGGAAACTAAATTCTAAATTCTAAGATGTCAATTCTCCTTAATTTGATTTATAAATTCAACATAGTCCCTTAAAATGCTTCAATACTTGTTTTGTGAGGATTAAAAAGGTCATTTTAAAATTAATAAAGAAGATAAGAAAACTGCCTAATTTCAAAACCTAATTCTAATTAATAAGTTAATCAAGATTATAGTTTAAGGATAGATATGTAGATGATTCCTCTTTTTGTCTAGCTGTCATCTATTTTTGTTTTTATTCTTTTTTTGAACACATTTACTTATTTGAAATTCAGAATTACAAGTAAAGAGGGAGAGACAGAGAAAGAGACATGTTCCATCTGCTGGTTCACTCCCCAGATGGTTGTAGTGGTGAGGGCTAGGCCAGGTGGGAGCTCAGAGCCAGGAGGTTCATCTGGATCTCCCACCTGGATGGGTAGCAGAGGCTCAAACACTTGGGCCATCTTCCACTGCTTTTCCCAAGCAGTGGGAGTTGGTTTGGAAGATAAGCAGCTGAGAAATGAACCAGCACCTGTATGGGATGCCAGTGTTGCAGGTAGTGGCTTTTACTGCTGCACAACAATGCCAGCTCATTTTTTATTCTAAGAACATTCTGTTTCTCAGTTTACAGTGTAATAATTTCTGATTTTACTTTCAAAGTCTTCTGTTTTCATCAGTGTGCTTCTGTTACTGCTTAATCAATGCTCACTAATTTGGCTATATTTGAAGGTTTCTAATTTGGAGTTACATTTATCATTTCTTAAGTATTACATAAATTTGGTTTTGATTTCCTTTTTTACAATGTTTAAAAGATAACTTAGAAAAGTTTTCATGTGTTTTTGTTTACTCAATTATTAATTTCTAGATTTTACAAACTATGTTCAAGGAATATTTGTGGTGATTCTCTCTTTAAAATTTATATTTTCAATATTTTATGATTATTTTGTAGGAACTTGAAAGGTTTGTTTTTTGCAGATGGCATACAATGGAATGTATTGTCCACTTTAATAAAAATGTCATTAATACCTTCTGTAGGGGTGTTTATTTAATGTTCAGGTGAGATAGAGTTATGAGTTCCTTGTTTGAGGAGACAGTATGAGTTCCTAATTCTACTGAGTTTTAGGTTGTTAGAATTCCATTATTTTATGAACACTGACATACTTTTTGGTTTAGTCATTAAAATACTTAAAGGTTTTCTCTAATCTGTGCTATGAGCTAAAAGGGACTCTTTTCATTTAATGCACTTATTCCCTACGTTAAAATCTTAATAACAGAACATGAGTCCCAAATTATTTTATTAATTCAACATCTTTCATTACAATTTTTCTAAGTCACTTATTTAGAGATATCGTTTTCAACTAATCCAATTATTTGCACTGACTGGAAGACAGACTTGACGTAAATTATGTCAGCCTTTATGTTATGCCCTTTATTTATATTTCTCCATAACAAAAATGTTCGGTAAGTATGCTTTATTCCTCATAATTCTGATAATTTTACTTTCTTTTAATAAATAATTTAAAAATGTAACTTGAAAATTCCCAGGATTGCATAATAGCATAAACAAAGGCTAATATGCATATAAAAAGGTCACTGCTGTCCTAAGTGATCAGGTAGATTTTTTTTTTGACAGGCAGAGTTAGACAGTGAGAGAGAGAGAGACAGACAGAAAGGTCTTCCTTTCGTTGGTTCACTCCCCAAATGGCCGCTAAGGCTGATGTGCTGCACTGATCCGAGCCAGCAGTGGGCCCTTGCACCTGCATGGGAAACCTGGATGAAGATCCTGGTTCCTGGCTTTGGATTGGCTCAACTCTGGCCATTGCAGCCCCTTGGGGAGTGAACCAGCGGATGGAGGACCTTCCTCTCTGTCTCTCCCTCTCACCATCTGTAATTCTGCCTCTCAAATTCATAAATAAAATCTTTAAAAAAGAAAAGAAAAAGAGAGGCCTTATCAGAAATCAACCTACTGGCACCTTAATTTTGGAATTTCAGGCTATACAACTGTGAGAAATACATTTCTGTTGTTTAAGCCACTCAGCTTATGGTATTTTATTATGTAAGATCCAGCTGACTAACAGAAATATAAATCAAAACCACAAGGAGACCACTTCATATCCATAAGAATGGTTAGAATAAAATCTCCTATTATGGTGAGGATGTGTTTAAATCAGAAAAATTAGGTCCTTAAAGATATAAACAAAGAGGTGCTGTATCACTCAGCAGTTTCATCCTAAGTATATACTTAAGAAAAATAAAAACATATATCCATATACAAACATGTGAATGAATGTTTATATCAGCTTTATTCACAACAGCCAAAAGGCAAATCACTAATGAATAGGCAAACAAAATGTGGTATGTCCATACAATGTTATATTATCTGGCCACAAAAGGATGAAGTACTAATACATGCTAGAATATCAATCTTGTAAACTAAGCAAAAGAAACCAATAATAAATGATCAAATGTTATATAATTCCATTTATATTAAATGTCCAGAATAGGCAAATGTAGAGACAGAAGGACATTAGTAATTGCTTAGGACTAGAGAGGCTAGGGGTTAGAAGGGTGATAACTGAAAGATATAGGTTTCTTTCTGAAGTGATGAAAATTGACTGTCGTGATGTTTGTATAAATTTGTGCATATGCCAAGTCACTGAACTTTGTACTTTAAGTAAGGAATTATATGATACATGAATTATATTTCAATAATTAAAAAAATAAACTAACAAAAGTGTTCTCCTTCTAAGGTCAAACAACCCCAGATCTCTTTCTGTCAGTGTTCACTCACCTGGTTCCTGCTGGTTTAGCAATTTGTCCTCCAAGGACCACAGCTTTCACCTTGTTCCAATTTGAATATCACATCAGGTTTGGTAACACAATATCCTATAAACAGAATAATTGAGAATATATATAGATGAGATTCATGGGCTTTTGGGATTCTGAAGATTCAAAAACATGGCAAAGTTTTCAATGGGATAAAACCATCATTTTTGTCTCATTAACCTTAGACCTCTTAATCCAAAGCCAGTACAATTTTAATCTCTATAAGGGCCCATATGCCATGATAATTTTTAAAAAGGATATATATTGGGGCCAACGTTGTGGCATAGCAGGTTAAGCTGTTGCCTGAAGTGCTGGCATCCCATATGGGTAATAGAACTAGTCCTGGCTGCTCCACTTCTGATCCAGCTCCCTGCTAATGTGCCTGGAAAAGTGCTTGGGCCCCTGCACCCATGTGGGATGCTAGGACAAAGCTCTTGACTCCTGGTTTTGGACTGGCCCAGCCCTGGCCTTTGTGGCCATTTCGGGAGTGAATCAGCAGATGGAAGACTTCTTGCTCTCTGCCTCTGCCTCTCCCTCTCTCTAATTTTACCTTTCGAATAAATAAATAATATTTTTTTAAAAAAACGTAACAGAAAACGAAAGGATATATATTCTACAAGGAGACACGTAATAAGGTCTGCTTACCTACTGAGACGAGATGGCTGTAGGTCTCCAGCATGAAATCTCTGTACAGGGTCCACTGAGCAGGGTTCATTTTATGCCATTCTTCCTGACTGAAGTCCACACTCACATCTTCAAATGACACCAATACCTGTGACAACACATTTATTTCAAACATTTAGAATTAGGTGAGATAAAAAAATCTTTGAAAAATTACTACTTTTCCTATGTACTCTCTCTCTTTTTTTTTTTTTTTTTTTTGACAGGCAGAGTTAGACAGTGAGAGAGAGAGAGAGAGAGACAGGGAGAAATGTCTTCCTTTACTGTTGGTTCACCCTCCAATGGCCGCTACAGCCGGCACACGGCGCTGATCCAAAGCCGGGAGCCAGGAGCTTCTCCTGGTCTCCCATGCGGGTGCAGGGCCCAAGCACTTGGGCCATCCTCCACTGCACTCCTGGGCCACAGCAGAGAGCTGGACTGGAAGAGGGGCAACCAGGACCGAATCCGGCGCCTTGACCAGGACTAGAACCCAATGTGCTGGCGCCACAGGCAGAGGATTAGCCTAGTGAGCCGCGTCGCCAGCCCTATGTACTCTTGAGGCTCTAAAAATTAAAGTTATAAAAGCTTATATTGGAATTAATTTTGTCTTTCATGTTGATGTTAGTTCTGCTAACATTAGAAATCCAGCTCCCTACTAATGTGCCTGGAAAAGCACTAGATGATGGCCCACGTACTTGGCTGGGTTCTTGCCACCAACACGGGAGACTCAGATAGTCTGAGGCTCCTGGCTTCAGCCTGGCCTATCCCTGGCTGTAGTGGCCATTTGAGAGAGTGAACCAGTGAATGGAAGATCTTTTTCTCTCTTTGTCTCTCCCTTTCTCTTTGTCACCCTGCCTTTTAAGTAAATAAAATATGTTTTAAAGTAGGATGACAATTTTTTTTTTTTTTTAAGTTTCAGTGAGACAGATCTGTTCATGTGGAAACATTAAGATTCTCTGGAACATAAAGCCAGAATTGCCAGGAAACATTATTTCAGAATGCAGACGGAAGCTCTAGAATGAGGACAGAATTTGAGAATCATTGCCCATCTGGGTGGAAATTGAAGTTATTAAAGACAGAAACTTCCTTGAACACAAGGGGATTGAGAAAAGAAAAGTAGCAAAACACCATTCAAGGAACCATGGATATTAAAGACGCTGGAAGAAAAAAATACAAGCCACAAATTAGAGAAAAATTCTATGAAAACTAGTAACAGAATCTGGAGAGGGTAGAGACTTGGAAACTGATAAAAGGAAAAGATTCCAGATGACTTCAGGGGTGGGGTGGATGTTGTGGTCCATCAGGTTAAGCTGCTGCTTAGGATGCCTACACTCCATACTGGAGTTCAGGTTTGAGTCCTGGGTATTCTGCTTCTGATCCAGCTTCCTGCTAATGCACCTAGAAGAGAGAAGACAATGGCTCAAGTACTTGGGTCCCTGCCATCCATGTGGGCAACCAGGATGGAGTTTCTGGCTCCTGGCTGTTGCAGCCATTTGAGGAATGAACCAGCGAATGGGAAGATTCTGTCTCTCATAAAGAGATAAATAGCCTCTTTTTTCAATTTTTAATTTATCAGAACCCAGCAAGAGATGATTTCCATCAACTTAACACTAAATTAGGGCAAAAAATACATTAAGAAAACCCTAAAGCTTAAGGCAGAAGTAAAACATAAAAACAGTATGTCTAAAACAGATTGTAGAATGTTGATTCACATAGGGTAGTTGTTGTCGCATAGGAGATTAAGCCATCCTCTGTGACACCAGCATCCCATATGGGTGCCAGTAAGTGTTCCAGCTGCTCTACTTCTGATCCAGGCCCCTGACACCCATATGGGAGACCTAGAAGAAGCTCTTGGCTTTGGCCAGGCCCAGCTCTAGTGGTTGTGTCCAAATGGGGAGTGAACAGATGGAAGATCTGTCTCTGTCTCCTCCCTCTCTAACTCTGCTTTTCAAATAAACAAATATTTTTTAAAAAAGATTCACATAGTTAATACGGTCAAAAATATTATCAATTAGTCTGGGATTTCTCCAGTTATGAAATGTCTAGGCTGCTGGTGCTAGTGTTGTAGTGTAGTAAAGCCGCCACCTGAGACACCAGCACCCACATGGCCACCAATTCAACCCCCTGGCAGCAGCTCTACCTCCAATCTAACTCCTTGCTAATGGCCTGTGAAATGCAACATAAGATGGCTCAAGTACTTGGGCCCTTGACAGCCAAATGGTGGTGCAGGATGAAGCTCCTGGCTCCTAGCTTTAGCCTGGCTCAGTCTTGCTCTGGCCATTGTGGCCATTTGGGGAGTGAACCAGTAAATGGAAGACCTCTGTCTCTTCCATTCTCTCTGTAACTCTGCCTTTCAAATAAATAAATAAAACTTAAAAAAAATTCTTAGTTGCTAATTGAAGAAATTTTGCTATGTAATAGCTACCATACAACCAAATGGTTTTTATGACAAAGCAACTAAGGTAATTTCATGATTTTCTTTTGTACAGATTTTACAAAATTAAATAGAAAGAAGTACAACTAGGGAGTATTTTTAGATTCATCTCCTCACACTAAGGCCCAAAAGATGTATGTCACTTCCCTTTAATTACATTTAAAAAATCCTGTGAACCATAATACTTCTAAATATGGCCTGATTCTAATTACAACAAAGGCATGGACTGTTTGACAATGTGGGAAAACCAGTAGATTACTGCATCTTTTCATGGTCATTAATTAATTTGAAGCTGAAGCTTAAGAATTGGAGCACCTCAGCAAGTGAATGACCTATCTCTTATCCACTAGTCTGAATTTTGACTGAAACCTTAGTACTAGGGGGAAATGCATTTCATGTTGTTTGTGTGCAATTAACAATCATCCTTCTGAAAAACAGGGTTGACAATCTTAAATTTCTATTTATGATTAAAACTTTTTGTTTTAGGGGGTGGGATAAGATTTTTAAAATGATACATTTTATTGAATAGAGTTAAATAAAAGGCAAATACATTTAAAATAATTTTGTAAGTCTAACAAATATGAGCTTTGTGTGTTCTTAACTAACATATTAATGACAAGAATTCATTTTTGTTATAAATTTTAAGCTATTTTAATAAAATAGTAGGGGGCCTCACTGTACTTATATTTATTTGTGCATTTATAAAAACATGCTAAAATTCCTTATGTAGTACTTCTGAAAAAGTCTAGTCATAAAAGATCACTAAAATGATCAGAAAAGCTTTGAAATCCTGATTGCAGATTCATTTCAAAGTAGATTTAGCCCCTTTCAGGATTGGGCATTTCAATCACAAATATCTTCACCAGTCTGAACTATGAAAATATAAACAAATTAGCTAGTGATGGCCATAGTGAAGCAGTACTGGTGTTACTTGAGGAAAAAATAAAAACTGAAAATACATATGAATCCTGCATTCCACAAGTTCAAGAACCAAGTAAGATCTAACTCATAAATACTGTCATGTCTTTGCAGGTTATCTTGACTTCCATCAGGTCCCAACTGAAAACTTATTTGCCAAAGCCCATCAGCACTCATGTAAAATAACAGGAGTAGGGAGGGAATTTTGTACACATGTTTCCCAGTGTTTAGTTTCCATTTCCCCTTTTTTATGTAATTATTATAGGTATAACTCCTTGAAGATCATGAAATAAGGGATAGATATAGAACATCTGTTCGGCTAACAATACATAAAAAGTTTTCAACTACATAAAAAGTTTTCAACTGAGTAACTGTTCTCACTCTGATTAAACTATGTGAAACATAAAATGTACAACAATTTTTTCTTGCTTGTCTACTTGTGGAAAGAATTATTGGGCTCAATAAAATGTGAAAAACACAGTAGTTTTCTTCAAATGCAAAGATTAACTGTTTTGGCTCAACCATAACATAACAAATAAAGTGTCTACTTAGAGAATACAATAGGAAAAGTTTCACATATGTACATGGATATATTCATTCATTAAAATATTCCTTAAATCTTTCTCAATGTATCTTTACAACCAATAGAACTGAGCTTTATTTAAAAAAAGTAAAAATGATGGAATAGAAATGATTTAATTTTACAGTACTTTGTTTTTTTTTTTTTAAGTTTTCCCTTAGGATGTAAAGGACATCATTGAAATGCTGCTTTTCACAGTTTGCAAAGTCCACCTGAAGCTCTCATTCTTCATCGTTTTGCTTCAATTTATGGAAGACACCAAATTTATCCTTGGAAGTCTGTTTAGTACAGCTGTTAGAATTCTGGGTTCACTCTCCAAGTTTGGGCCTCTAGTTAAATGCTGAAGAATGTTAGAAGGGTTCTGTTTTGAGTACCAAGGTTTGCACTGTGGTTCACCTGTGCATCTTTAGCCAAATTTGCAGACAGAGGTTGTCTACTTGGAAGATGGGAAATTGTTTGATGAGTTCCATGTTCAGAAACTGAAATAGAAGTCCTCTTTAAAGCAGTGGGAAGATCATCACTAGGTCATTCTCTTCTATTCCAGCCATCCCACATCACCACCTCTTTGATTTGTTCTTTCCCATATGTAGTATAACTTGAGGGTTCTTCATTCTCAGCTACTTTTGGAATATTTTTAGCTACTACATGATCATTCACAGCTGATTTTTCTCCATCATTTGCTTGAACTTTGTGAGTCTCTTGTTTTTGTTGAAAAAATTGGTCTGCTAAGTTTTCTTCAAATCATGCTCTTAATTCCTTGACCTGCTGTCCACACTGAAAATTCTCATATGCTAACCACTTCACAAGGAAAGTACTTTTCTGTCTGTAGTGTTGAAGCTGATCTTCTTGTGGAAGAAACTCCTGATTAAGCTCAACAAGTTACCCCTTTAAATGATGTTTGCTACCTGATATGAAATGCTGGTCTGTAGTTTAACCTTGTCATCTTCGCATCTCTTCCCCAGACCCTCCCAGCCAGCAGGTTTCTGGTGAGGTGACCATAATTTGGCCCCCTCTGGTACATCTGTTTCTTATGCATGCCCACCAAGAGCAAGAGATCTGAATTATACTTCTTCAGATGCCTGCGGGCCATCTCTGTGCACTGAACCTGGCCCTGTGGCTCAGTCTTCTTCTCAGGAAGCAAGATGTGTCAGGAAGAAGTGCTCTAGTAGTAAACGCCAGG